TTTCCCCTTGGGTGCATTAAAACCACTTAGGCCTCACTTCACACTTTCTCTAAGCATTACAGGATTAACATCCAGCTCTCAGCAATTAGAAGCAGCATATTTTATTGTTGTTTTCTAATCCCTTTGTACTACTAAGTGGATTGGGAGGTTCCTGGGTTTTATGTGGACGTGGGAGAATCGAAGAATATTTTTCCTTTTTGGTCTGTCGGGAAAGAAAATTGAGCAAAGACCTTGTGCTGGCATGAGAATAAAAAAGGCATTAAATTTGAGTAGATACAAACAAGGGTTGTATACAGAAGATGTGTTTCAGAATGAATGTTCCAGTGTCAGTTATACTTGTATTCCTTGATGGTTATGAAAACACCTAAAGCTCACCTGAATATAATAAATACAATAATTCATGCATGTTTTTTCAGGTAGTGCTTCCATCTGCTGCTAGGCTAGGTCTTTCTAGTCCTTTTGCTTTACTGATGTAAAATTATAATTTGTACTTTTGGGACAGATTATTAATGCTAAAGGTTCTGTCCACTAATAAAGATGGATCATGGTATGCTTTCAGAGTAAGCAAAATGTTTTTCTCCATTCCAGTTTTTGCTTTGCAGTTTACATTCCATAAAACCAGCTCTTTTTTGTTTAATAGATATTTTAGGTCTATGAAATGAAATCCTGCTGAGGTAATTCTGACAGGATTGACAGATACAGCAACAGGGCTCAGCTGCTATATATTTCTAAACTAGATGACAGCATTAAAATAAATAATCAAATACTGTGTGGAATGATAGTCAGTGTCAGTTTTAAGTTCTTAACTGTCTGAATAAAGATTGTTTATCCCTGAGCTGCTTCAGGACAAAATTATTTATTTTCTATTCATCAAATTTTGTCCTTGTTACTAGTCTGCATTGCATGGGCTGACAAACCATAGATAGTGTCTAGGTGGTTTTATTTTCAGTTTTTTATTTAAAATGTTGGTTCATATGCTAAGAATAACAAATATTCACATTTTTGGGTGTGCATGTGCAGACACTAGAATGTTCATTCTTCTAGTCTGGATTATTTCCTGTAATTTAAAACTTTTGTTGGTTGAAAAGCAAGTGATCTGTCTGTCTTGTAATTTTGTTCAGATTAATTGTCATTTGGACATTACTTGTATTACAGAAAAGTTCTACCTGCGATGTTCATTCTTCTAGTCTGGATTTTTCTCTCTGATTTTTAACTCATGTTAATAATCAATCTTAGGTTAGGAACATTTTGTCAATGTTGGTAATTGCTTGTTAGTGATCATGTGCTAAATTGATTTCCTTCTTGGTCTAAAGTTAAAGATTTGGTACCATCAGTTTGCAGATTATTTCTTCTCAAAATATAAACCCTGATCAGGATATGGGATATTGAACAATCATTTATCTTTATGTCTTTTTTTATAAACACAACAAATTTAGAGACTTTTTTTGATGTCCTTCAAGCATGTTTAATAAACTTTGATGTACCTAGACTATTAAGTAGCATAAGGGCTGTCCGCAGCTACTATAAGAACATGAAAAGATGATGGAAAAGTAACGTGGAATAAGGCTTGTCCTGGGGTTTCTATTCAGTGGTTTTAATATAAATAAAAATGTCATTATGAAGTAAGTCAAAGTTACAAAATTGGCTTCCACTTAAAAGCAGCCTCAAGAGTTTTTTCATAGTCTGTTGTTGAGTATCATCTCCTTCTAAGCCTCATAATGAATTTCAAAGGCTGTTTTAGCGCATGGGCTATGATATTACTATAGATTCTTGAATTCTAGCTGCTGCAGATACTTGTTAAACTCTGAAGTTCCTGTTGTCATTTCATTATTAAAATGATAGTCTTTGCATATTCGTTTTGTTTTGAAGACTAGACCTCGGACCCAGCGTTTTTTCCTCAGATCAGTATGTTGCTTGTCCCTTGTCTTTGTTTACCATGGGTTTTTGAACTCACTGCTGTGGTTAAAAGTGAATCTGTTTTTAATAGACTTGTCCAAATGAAGAAAGGTGCAAAGGCAAAATACTAGACAATGATAGGTAGTGAGCAGAGAAGTGTGCAAAGCAAAGGAATTGCATTCAACACCTAATCTTACTACTGTTTCTGCACTGGCACACTTAGACCATTTAAGTAGTTCATATTTAACAGTTCATATCTCTTCAGGGAAGAGTGAAATCAACTGTGTTTTTGATTTAATAACACTTTTTAGTAAACGTCCAGAGTTTTCCTTTTCTTTGTAGCTTGAATGCACATCACCAAAAGATTTTTGTTGGAGGTGTATGAGGCTTTTGAGTTCATGTTCATTTTCCAAGTTTTCACCAGTGTAAAAAAAACACAGCATCATTTAGCACTATGCACCAGGGGCTCAGTGTAAATAATTCTAGAGTCAGCTTTGCTTCTTGTTAATAGATAAATAGGTCGTAGGCTGCCATTGTGTCGCTTGAGAGCTAGACTTCCCCAGTGCAGGACATGTCCACGTCTTTCAGGTTTTATCCTTTTCCAAGGTGGAAGGAGATGGTAAGCATTATTTTTCAAATTGTAACTGTTACATCTTGTTCCATTTTCTCTTCCTACTCCCTCTGCCTCTCCTCCTACAGTGGAGCAGATTACTACGACTATGGGCATGGACTGAGTGAAGATACGTACGACTCCTACGGTGAGTAGCGCTATGAGTTGTGTGGCTGAAGTAGGAAAGGCTTCTGAAGAAATAGTATAACCAAAAAAGTCTCCCTGAAGAAAGTTTGCAGGGTAACTGCTGCTCAAGGATTCCTGACACATTGTTCCACCTGTGGTTATTGTGACAAATGGAGCAAGAGGTGTTTGTGCTCTGTTAGATACTCTAATCGTGAAAGTGGGGCAGTCCTGGGGTTTTAAGTACACTTGTGTACTCTTTTCATACAGCATTCAGTGTTACTTAAGAGAATATCAGGGATGCATGGCCTGAGTTCAGGAGCTGTTCACCCATGAAAGGCAATGCTTCTAGTGGGGCACAGCTGGTGGTACGAGCTAAGGACATGCTGAAGTTCTCTGCTGCATCAGGGCCTACCTGAGTACATTTTAGGCTTGCAGGTTCTTTTGGTATTAGTTCACTTTTAAATTGCACTCATGAAATCAAGCAGGGAGCCATTATGTAAAGGTTATGAAAGTACTTTAGGTCGCTAATAGACATAAGGGCAGTAGGTAACTCATACAGAGACAAAACAAATACATAATGAAGCAAAAGGCATATGCCAGTGAGATAAATTACTTTTTTTGAAACAGAAGTGCAGTGGTGACAGGTTTAATTAAAGAAATGTGTTATGGATTAGAAGCATGAAGCACGTTAAAAGGCACCTTTGCTTAAGGAATAAATGTTAAGTCTCTGGCTAGAGATCAGAGAAACAGAATTGTTGATCACTCAAGAGCCTCCAATGCAGGAGGATTGCTAGTAACTAATGAGAGTTGTGCTTCTGAGTAATAGATATCACAGAGACCTTTTTGTACCCACAAGAAAGTATTCTATGGCGTATTTCTTAAACTTCATTTTGCAGTGTTTCCTGTGGAAAAGTTATCTCAACTGAGATTTTTCTCCTGATAAATGCATTTAATGCAGAGGATTGCTTAATGTCATCTACTTAAATTAATTCAGTTTGCTAAAGGGAACAGATCAGTTCATCAAAAGAGGAGGTCACTTGAAGTTCCTCTGTCTGCCACACGTTCAATTGGACTTGGTAGATATATGCCTTAAATCTCTTAAGCATTAAAATAAAATGTTAGCCAGTGTAAATCTGATTATTTCCTTAATGGAAAATTGATAGGAAAAAGCACTCAAAGCTACCTCATGTAGGTAGGGTTGATTTAAGAGCAAAAACATAGATTGTACTATATAAGACTGAAATTGCAGACTTTTCACTGTGGAACTTATTCTGCTGTACAGTTCCTGTTACCTGATTTGAGGTGTCTCAGGGAGTTACTTAGCTCATTTAGAGAAGTTCAGGGGGTTCTTTGTTTAGCTTTCTATTCAACAGAAAAGGTGATGTTACATTTTCGTTGACCATATCAAGTTGTTGGACTTCTCACTTCCACCTCTATTCTGGATTGCACAGGATTCACTTAGACACTTGAGCAAGAACTTCTGCTTTTCCCAAAAAAATAGCAGAACAAGAACTACATACACTTTTCAAGTGTGGGGGCTTTTTTTTTTTTTTGTGATTACTTACCAAGGCTCTGATACTCTGATTTTGGCTGTAAGTAATTAAAACTCCCCTGAGTCTTGTTCCAGTGTTTCTGTTCAAATTCATGCCTGAGGATTGTTCATTCACTCGTATTTCGTTCAGATCCTCCTAATGGTCAGTCTGCTGCTATAGTTGGCATTTCTGTTCGCAGCGAGCAGACCCAACACAATGCCAGGGACCTAAACAGGGTGTCAGTGCTGTCACTGCCCACTGTTGTGCCACTGAGCTCTGTGGGTAGCTTATGCAGGCCTCTATTACAATACCCAGATTTCCGGTTAAGATTGTGAGTAAATACATTAATTCACAATTAAATGACCAAAAACTTGAGTATCTCCAAGAACATGGAAGTCTAACTCTGCTTTTGCTACTTGCAGGGCAAGAAGAATGGACCAACTCAAGACACAAGGCACCTTCAGCAAGGACAACAAAAGGAGTCTACAGAGACCAGCCATATGCCAGATACTGATTGTACTGTCTGATGTTGTGAAATATCCAATCTTCACCAGTCCTGTATACTGTTCAAAGTAATTTTTTCTATGAACAATCCCTTTTTATTAAATCAAAGAGCTTAAAAATCTGAATGGATGGACTGAACTTAAAATATGTTGTTGAAAGAACAACTTGGACAGAAAGATATGTAAAACAAGGAATTTTGTTATTTCCAAACTGTATTTGAAAAATAGGCAATCAAAAAATAACCTTTGATTAACTAGTGTTAAAAACTAGGTTTACTAAATATGTTAGTCCATTCTTTTAACATAAGCGTAACCTTTTATTTTAAAGGTTTTCAACAGTTTAGTTTTTAGTTTTTATTTTCAGCCATTTGCTAGTATTTCTCTTTGCAAATATGCGTAAAAAGGGAAGCAAAGTACAAATGCAAATAATGTGGTATTTTGTAACTCGAGTCTTGAAATGTTCTGTAGTGTTAAGCAAAGTTTTACCCTTGCTTGATACTAAATAAACTTTTGAAAGAAAAACAGTGTGTGTGAGATTAATTTTATGCTTTATTTTTATAATAAAACTTCATAAATAGTAGTAAACAGGGAGAAATCCATTTAACAATGATCAGCATAAAAGGCTCATATTAAAACATTGCACACCTTAAAAAAATGGTATAAACCTAAATGTACACTTATATACTCACAGTAGATTTAAATGATGTTTAAAGTATCCAAATGGTATGGATCTGACTGAGTGCCACATTAAATCAAAATATTTTTGTTAAAAATGGTTAAAAATAGCTAATGAATTTTCTGAAAAAGATGTGACTAGTTTTCATCTTGTTGAGCGTTTTTTCAATAGTGCAACTTTGGAATTTTTATGAGAATTTTGGTACGTTAATGACCACCTCGCTCCGTGCTGGAAGCAATAAACACAAAGCTTTTAAAGACTTTCTGACTTGACTAATTGAGGTCGCTTTCGTCAGAGGCAGAGGATGTGTAACCCTTAAAACGGTCTTCATTTGCAAAGGTAAATAAATCAAATAAGATTTTAATCTCAATTTATATAACCAATAAAAACAGGGAGAATACAACTTAGTTTCATTTCAGCTTTTAGGGAAGGCCTCAAGATCACCTAAATTCTCCTTTTAAAACGTTCAATCTGTGCTAGTAATCTAAAAAGCCTTAGCTTAGTTAGTTTAATTTGGACAAACTATTCCCTATTAAACAAATGTAAAACCTCATAACCAACAGTTTGTAGTATATTCTTTTTCCATAAATTCTAGTAACTTAAATGTAACTTACAAATGTTATTTAATGTTTTTTTATTAATCATTAAGTTTCTTTTAATTATAGTTAATTTGCATTTTTTTCAGTTTTTTATTTGAAAGTATTTCATATTTAGTAAATCTGTTTTTCCTCTTGTCAGGAAATCCAACTCCTTGGAGAACCAGGAGAACAAAAACCTTAATCTTCTCATGTTTTGGTAGGTATCTTTAATCATCTCTGAAATTGAGATAAAGGGTCTTTCAATTAGGTGCTTAAATATTTTTGCACGCAGGTCTTTAATTGCATAATTCTTACAGGTGTTGAGCCCAACACCAATCAAAATTGACTACTTTGATTTTACAGGAGCTTTAAAAAGCAATATGACATTAAACTACCCTGATGTGTGGACACTGCGGTTTTTTGGTGCTTACAATTTACCTGCACCTGACTGGAAATTGGAAAGAAACACTTAGCTTTGATTATATTTCAGGTGACTAGGTAGTTTCATTAAAGGTGAGAAAATGAATGCAATTTTATGCTAGTGGTGTTCAAATGAGAACTTTAATCCAGTCAGCAAACTTGTCTGTAAACTTGTCGGACAAAGCTGAAGAAAGCATTTTGTAGAACATAATTTTATGCAACCATTTCTGCACAAGTAGACTGGACTTAGCACAACTGAAGGAGGGCACGTCCACCGAGAGACATTAGCTGTAGAAAAGCTTGCCTTACTGTTTCCGATTAATACATAAAGTATAAAATAATTTGGCTGTGCTTGTGCTCAGACTAAAGGTTTTTTTTTATTTTTCTGCTTGGAGTGGTAATTATTCCTGATAATTTCAGGAATCCAGTGCCTTTAAATTTGTGCCTTAGCGCTCTCTATTTTGGAAAGTTGCACATTGCACTGATTATGGATACCACAGTGGCTGCTGTCATGGACAGACAGAAAACCATTTGCACAAAGTGGCTTTAGAACAATTTTGAGACTATTATTAAAGGCTTGAAGAAAAGGACCTTTTAAAGTTTAGCAGTGGTCATATCAGATTACTCTCCCCTAGGACTCTATGGACTTTCAATAAGATTGTAAGGCTAGAGCTGCTGCAGCAAAATGATTATATAGATCATGCTAAATTACATCTTTCTGGTGGGATTTTTCTGTCGACATCTTCAAAGCTGCATAATATCAGGGAGTGTTACATAAGCCACAAAGTCTTCATTGGTGAACACAGAATTTTACATAAATGGTATATGAGGAAGCACAATGTTTTAAATCTAAAGTACTGAGTAGCAGGGATGAGTAATAGAGGAATGACTGAATTGGAAGTGACTTAAGCCTGCTAGAGTGTTTATCCAGCTCCTGTTTCCTAATGACAACTTTCCGTAGTCCCTGCTGTAGGGAGGAGTTGAATAGTGTCGTTTTTCTGCCATCTCACTGCTGTTGTGTCCCAAAAAGCCTCCGGATGTTGCACGTAGTGCGTGCCAGGCGGTGCCCCCTTTAGTAAATGTGGCCCAACTTGACCAAAAGGTTAACACGAGTCCAATGATTTCTAATATTTTAATCAATTTAAGAATCTGTGATACATATAAGAAACAGTTGCCTGCATTTTTACCGTAATATCACGGTATGAATTGCAAAACTATTGTCTCCCCTCTTCAAATCCTGCACACTCGTCCATCTTATTTCTGCTAAGAAAAATCTGTTTTTATGCCTCTCTTTTTTTTTTAAAGTTTATGTAAGTGCTTGTCTTATACGTGTGTATAAAATGAATTACATCAGTCCTAACAGCTGCTTTTAGATATTCTTAGAAACTGTGAATTTACAAGACTTCTCTTGACAGTTCCTGAAATAACATGTGTTAGCCTTGTGTTCTGTTGTTGCATTTGTGCTTGGGGATTTATTTGTTTCCTCTTTAGATTAACCTATGAAATGGAATTTGTTAGATTTTGTAGAAGGAGAAAAATACCCTAAAAAGATGCCATTTTTCTCGGTGTAGAAATCGGCCTTCCTTTATTGCAACAAACTTTAGCTAGAAACACTCATCCATTCTAGTAGAATATCATGGGTTTTTTTGCTGGTCAACTGTTGTGTATCTACTGGTCAAACAAATATGATAATCATTGTAATTAATCAGATCATTAATTTATCTTTATTGAACAGCAGCTTTTGGTCATGCTTGCACTGAATTAGTGGCAGCACAGTTTCTGCAATGGTTTCCATAAATCTACATACATTTATTACCTTAATTGCCTGATCCCACTGCTTGCAGTCTGGCAGTCTCCAGAGAATCAGTAATCATTAATCTCCACATGTATACAAATAAATTGCATTTTGCTCTTTTTCAGGGACTTCTGCCACGTTAATTATGGACTGCTTAGAGCATTGTACTTGTCAGCGTACCTAGGCAACGAGACTGGCTTCGGAGTATGAAAATCCTATTCTGTATCTCTTGTACTAAAGCCTTAAAGTGTATAACACTATACACTTCTTCAAAAACTGTATATAAACTTGTAGCTGGTTAGTGACTCAACAATGTTTTGTTTGGAGCTCAATAAAGAATTTTTCATGTCAATTCCCGTACGAAGCAATAACGCAGCCTCATGTTCCTTTTTAGCCTTATGCAGCAAGTGTGTGAGAGAGACAGAGAGAATGTGTGAAGTCCCATGTCTGAAGTTCAGCAGTGCTTTTGGAAGTAGCTTGCCTAATGTATGAGCCACATGGATAAGTTAAGAATGAAGATTAGTGCTGAAGCTTTTCTTACTAGCCGAATGTAAACAGGCCTTCTCAGAACAAGCCTCCTGGTTAGAAATAATACTCCAACTTCCATTTCCTTCAGCAACTTGTTATATAATATGAACATATTTTAATCCCTGTTGACCGTATTATGCCGCTTATTCTCTTTCACTTGGTCTTTGCATAGAAATGCTTTCTCTTCTAATATTATACAGTGACACATTTTCTAGTGGTAGAATCCTGGATGAGGCTTTTATGCTCTGATAAATCTTGTATTAAACAGTCATTTTTCCTTGATGCTTTCTGTTTTATATCAATCGTGGCTGTGAGAATTTGTTACAGAAATAAACTTCTGATAATTTAATTCTTTGCGCTCTTTTTGTAAATGCTACTCTCCAAGCATGAGTGTCATCCCATACCTCAAGTGTATTTTTCTATCTGACCAAATCTCATTCATCTTCAGAAGAGCATACATTGGGGGTCTCTCCTTTATGTTTATTGTGGAAAAAGAGCAATATCATTTACTGGCTTCTTCACACCAAATACCACATCTTCAACATACATTGATATTTTCTGATTTTTTTTTTTGAGGGCTTATTCTTGACACTTATCAAGTATCTTGCTTGAATATGATACCATTTTTAATAGGCTGTTTAAAAAAAAAAAAAAAAGCTTTGTAGCATGAAAAGGTCTGTCTTTACTTTTTAACTTTGAACACTGAAGGTGCAATTTCATCAGTTATTCTCATAATCCTGAAATGTTTTCCCACCATGTTTTGCTGTACTACAACTGGATTTCTGCAATGTCTTCCACAGCAGTAGATAGTGATTATTGAAATAAAAGTGAAATTTAAGAAAGTGAATAATGGATTCCCTTCACACTGATAGGCAGGAACCTCTGATATGGAATCGTGACTAATGTTTTAAATGCTAACCAGGTGTAAAAATTGTATATAAATACTATAGAAGTTCAGATAAACAATGCAATTTCACTAGCTGTAATTTGGACCAGACAATACAATTTTGTCCCATTTGAGGAGTGATAAGAACAATTTAATGAGTAAAACATCAGCTTTTCACTCCTGGGTGGTGGACTGCTATTCAATAAAATTATATCAGAAGCAGAGCTTCCTAAACTCAATGCTAAAATGATTTGCTCATATGACTAATTTTTTGATGTGGCAGTATCAGAGCTATTTCTGTGCTGCCCCTGATGGCTTTAACCTTCCTGGTGAGAGAGCAGCTCTGAATCTCTGTTCTATCAGTTTTACACCATGTTGCCTTGCTTAAGGACTTTAGGGCAAGGACTGGAGCATGCTACCTAAAATGCATTTAATCTGCACAACAGTGTTTCCTCATAGTGTTGGTGTTCTTCCTAAGGTCTTCATCTCCCTGTTACATAGAGCTTTAATCATGTTTATAACTGAAGCTAGAGGAATAATTCCAATCCTAACCTATTCCTAATAATGTTATAGGTAGGACTTAGAATTTTTTTTTTTTCTAAAGGGTGTTGTGGAATGTCCTTTTCAAGGTGAACTTCTCATCCTTCCAGGTAAAGGAACTGAAAATTCAAAGCTCAAAACACAAAGTTATGAAGTTTTATATTTCTTTTATAGATACACTGTACACACACATACACCCACATGTCTGCTGATAAACAGGATCAAATTTGACCTTGATAGCTGCTGCTTCTGCACACACCACTTCTTGCTTTGTTCTAGTGATTTGGCATCATTTAGCTTTTTGTAGGTGCTGTCACAGCTCACCTCGTGCACAGCAAGAATATCTCTGATCTCCAGATTATGACAAAGATGAATTAGTTGAAAGGGCTAAGGACTTTTTTTTCATTAGCACAACAACTTTGTCCAAGACAGCTGCATTTCTTCAATAGGAAGAAGAAAACCCTCTGGTAATGGAAATTATCAAAGGTATTTAGTGTAAAAGCACATATGGCAAAAATGATAGATGTCTGTGCAGTCTTAGATACTTGATAGAGTTTACAGCGTGTTGACCCTTGTCTTCAGGCAGTCTTTTCATAGAATTGCAAGTTGAGAGAATATCCTTGGCAAACTTGTATTTTAAAAATGCTTAGAAACTATAGCCAAGGGCAGAAATAAATCTGTTTTACTGTTCTGCTCTGTTCTGCTCTTTAGGTTCATCATCGGAAAGTATTAAGAATGCATGAAATGGTGTTGCTACTACTAAAAATAGCAAATTAGGGAGCCAGCTTAATGGAAACCTCTTGCTTTCAGTCAGAGACGTGCTTGAGGTTTATGAAATTAAAATTGAGATTTAGTAAAGGTATCTCAAAAATTCTCAGAAATCTTTACTATATCAAGTAATCAAAATAATTCATGGTCTTTCAAGAAAGCAAGCTCCTGAGCTAGAATTCCTGACTAAATGTTCTGCTTTTATTAGCCTGAGTGAAATCAAATGTAAATCAGTCCACAGAGTTCAGTTTCTGCTTTCATGAAGCTGAATACTTCTCTGATTTTTAATGCTATTTGATATACCATGATAAATGATCTTTACTTAATTTATACCCTTACAGAAATTTAGGATTAAGAAGGAAGGATTTACCCACCAAGAAATGCTTTGGCCCTGTTGTGAAGACAGAGTCTTTTACTGACTGCTATATTCTGATTTTATTTTTTTATTAATTTTTCTCCTACACAGATCGTAGAGAACTGTTAAGGTTTTCTCCAGTAGCAGCCTGCTAATGCTCATTGTCTTCTATTGAAAAAGTGGGTGGTAACTTGTTATTGCCATTATCTGCTTGGCAAAGATCCTGACCCCTAAACACCTCCTAAAGAGGTATCACATTTTTTCTTTAATTCATAAATTTTCTTAGTTCTTAACTTCTTTTTTGTTTTTAATGTAGAGGTAGCTGTTCTTTTTGTTTTTCTTCCAGAGAGGTAATATGCAGACTCTTAAGATGCTGACCTCACTCATTAAATATATAATTAAAAAGAATTTTAAAAACCCCATTTTTCTGCTAGTGTAGCTATGGGTGAAGAGCTCAAAATCTGTAGCTACTTAGGTGTTCTTACTTCATATGCATGCAGAGCAGCTGTGGAGTTACACTGTTAAATGTGTATTCACTGATTTGGGGCTCTTACTAAATCTTTTTTTTCATCCTTGTATCACAATATAAATATTTATTATTTTAAAAATTCATTAGGCCCTTCAGGTTATTTAATTACAAACTTTAAAGCAAATGAGAAGAGCAAATATACATTTTGATGAATGCTACCTTTGTGTGTTTTAGAAGTCATCTAACTTTAATGATGATGTTTAGAATTATTCAACTGAGAAAGCAAATCTTATTCTGTTTACTTAGTAGCTCCATTACTTTTACAACAGTAGAGCCTCTAAGAAGTTAGCTAGAGAAACAGTTAAACTTTTCTAATGATGGCTGTATTCAGCATTTGATTAAGGCTACAGGTACATCCTTTTCAAATTGAGTTGAAGAATAACTTATTGTTAACTCACAAATAGAGACCAATAAAGATTGATAGAAGACTTAAGGAAATATAAGGTAAAGAAACATAGATGGTCCTTAGGCTGAACAAAAACTGAGTTTAAGAAATTTTGCCACAATTCCTTTGTGAAAACTATATATTATAAACAGGAAACTGAAAAAAAAAGGAGGTTGTTAAAAAGTAATCTAGATACTAAAAGCCACTTTGAAATTCATATGGCACTATGGAAGATGAAAGCTTCCAGATTCCAGAAAATAACTTCCCTGAGGGCATGGGGGCTTTTTGTTTGTTTGCTTGCTTGTTTGTTTTGACAAGTGCCATTCCAACACCATTCATTTAGACCTACTTGGTGTTAAAAAGGTGGGTTTGTCCACGATCATAGGGCTACCCTATAGGAGCAAATCTAGGTCCCAATTACATTTTGTAATCCCTGTGCTGTTTTCCCATATCTGTCTAGCCTGGCACTGGATTCCCTCATGCAGGGAGGGAATAGCAGCTCATTAATTTTCAGAGGTCCATACTTTCCTCAAAGGTATATACAGGTGATTTTTGTAAATGTCACAATGAGTACCCCTTTGAAAGGTCTCTTTGCCTACTCCTGTATAATATTTCTATACACATACATGTAATTTAATGTATTTGCTAAATGCTCTTCAGAAGAACATTTTAAAGGACAGAGAAGATATCTTGCTGTGAGATACTTAAATTCTGGTTTATAATTGGTTTATATTTATGCTTTATAATTTCATATGTAGGGAGAAAATAATAAGTAGTAAATTAATCTGGTAGTGAAAAAATACATAAAGAAAAGTTAATGTTGGATGTAAAAGCCTTGCAATTTTAAATGAGAGATTAGGCTTAAATGGAAGCGATTAACCACAGCAGCGAAATGCATTTGCGTGAACTGGTTTCTATGGCTTTTTCCACGTAGGAGGCTAGATTGAATGATCTAATAACCCTATCAAAGCTTGAGATTTGTGGGTCAACAGTGAATGTATGCAACTTCTAACAACCACAGCATAAAAAAAAACAAAGCATTTTTTTCTGATTTGCATGCTGGTAAAGTAATCAGTGAGGGCTAAGATAATCAAAATACATTTTATTAATGAGCATGAACTCTCCATCTCTATTTGGGGGAAATAAAAAATGCTACATGTCTCTTAATTGCTTTTGCAAATGGTAAGCCAGTATTTACTGATATTAACAGACCAATACAACTCTGTTCCTCATATAAGAACCATGTAGAAATCTTATGCATTGCTATAGATGACTTGCAAATTATGCTCTT